ACAGGGACAGGAAGTTGAGAAGCCTTTGCCGATGTATATAGATCGATAACATCAGGCGCACGCTTCACCTGAGGCGCGCCCTCTGGGTAGACTACTCACAGCAGCATCAGGATTTTTATAAAATCCCCCAATTACTAACAGCAAATGACGTCAAATTATGCAAATTAGATGGGGAGAATTAATTCTCTAACATATACTTGGAACCATTCCTTAATAATTTCTAATTTACAGAAAGCCTCCTAACTCTTATTAATTTAAGTTATAGCCTTATGGAATCAATAACTAATTAAAGAATATCCCCACATAAATCAAATATGACAAGAGACACCATGTGTGGAGATTTTGAAATATCAAAATGACTATCACTGAGAATACATCGAATATTAGTCATTTTAGAGCACACTTAACTTGTTAACTCTTATTTAAAAAAATAAAAAAACCTAAATCTAACCCCCAGCTGACAATTGCTGTAAAAAGTTGTCCAAATAATAACCCCAACATTTAAGCATGTTACTTACAATATAGGATGGACCTCTACATGCTGCTCTGGTTTACTGAAATAACCATACAAACCGTTTACCAACGTGTTTAATGAGTGAACATCAGATGTGGAGGCACACGATGTAAGGACATCCTCTCGATCGAGTGTGTGGAGTAACACAATAAATACTCCAAACAACTTAAAAAATAAATATTATGTGAAACTCTGGTCTGGAAAAGTGCCAATCAATAAATTACTTTGAAACTACTGTAAAAATCTACAAGTGAATTTCCACAAACTTGCAACAACTCACGCCTATAACTTGGGTTTCATTAAACTGATCTGTAGGGTAGAATACGCAGAGGTGTAATAACCTTCCGTTTTGCTCCTATTGAAAACCATGTAAATCGTGTTCTGTATTTAAAGTCAAAATGCTATCATCTAGTGCAAGTTTCATTGTTGTAACAGTCTTATTTGAGAGTGGGGACACAACAAATTCTAAGGGAGAACTAAAAAATATGTCTTAAGATCTTGATTCAGGCATTTTTAGGAAAACCCAAATAAATTGCTTGGGTTTCATATGGGTGGCCTCAGAAGGCGCTATCTTATAAAGCCTGGATCCACCACCACACCTCATATCGAATGATATTTTCAAAGTGCACTCCTATCTGAGACCAGAGTTTGAAACCAGAAGAAAACTCTCATCTTTTCTCTCTAATTACGCAAATGACACTGAGCGGGGAACCGCAAACAAGATGGCATTTGCCTAGCGCTACTTCCAGCTACTATAATCTCTCGTGAATAGCACAACAGACTAGACACCGCCCAGGGTCCGACTGTCTAGAGCTGCAACTAACGATTATTTTTGTAATCGATTAATCAATCGCTTATTTTTTTACGATTAAATCGAGTAATCGCTTGGCTGGGAATTGTGTAGAAAAAAAAAAATGGTCATCACAAAAAAGCTAAAGTGGCAACACTCGAGGACGATAGTATTGATGGGTAAACTTAAAGTAAATGTTTGATAACAGCTCTATGTGCTAATTCTGCTAACTGATTGGATGAGACAGACAGTATTCATGAATTTATAAAAACAAAGTCGGTTTTAATCAAAAATACAAATGTTTTCATAGTCATCTTTTGCTCTGTTATTGAGTCCGTGTGCACAGAAAACATTAATCGATTACTAAAATAGTTTGTCGACCTATTTCAATAATCGATTATCGTCGAATTATCGATTAGTTTGTTTTAATTTTTTTTCAGGCCCTATCCTGTCCCAAGTTGTTATTGGCGCCGCCACCCTGACATCATGAATGTGTTAAGGTTAAATGTTGACTTTACAGGAAACTGAGCGGAGGAAAAACTAGGATTATAAAAGTATCGTCAGAAAACCAGAAGCAGAGAATAAAAACCATATTTGAAAACTTTAATATTATCAGTTATGTTCAGTGGAAGGACCTCCACATTTCTCTTTTTATCAGATCAATGAATCCAACAGGTTCCAAACGGCTCAGACGGCGGGGCGGCGGCGGCGGCGGCAGATCCCAGAGACAGTCACTGACACACATCGAGCGGCGCCGTCAAAACGAGCGACTAATCAACAGGAAATCACAAACACAGAACAGAATATTCAGATTCTACAGCTTCAAAGGAACGAGGAAGAGGATAAAGAAGGAAGTGGGTTTAGGAGAAGGCCCTGTGCTCTGGGTTTGAGACCACAGAGAAGGCCCTGTGCTCTGGGTTTGAGACCACAGAGAAGGCCCTGTGCTCTGGGTTTGAGACCACAGAGAAGGCCCTGTGCTCTGGGTTTAAGACCACAGAGAAGGCCCTGTGCTCTGGGTTTGAGACCACAGAGAAGGCCCTGTGCTCTGGGTTTGAGACCACAGAGAAGGCCCTGTGCTCTGGGTTTGAGACCACAGAGAAGGCCCTGTGCTCTGGGTTTAAGACCACAGAGAAGGCCCTGTGCTCTGGGTTTAAGACCACAGAGAAGGCCCTGTGCTCTGGGTTTGAGACCACAGAGAAGGCCCTGTGCTCTGGGTTTGAGACCACAGAGAAGGCCCTGTGCTCTGGGTTTAAGACCACAGAGAAGGCCCTGTGCTCTGGGTTTGAGACCACAGAGAAGGCCCTGTGCTCTGGGTTTGAGACCACAGAGAAGGCCCTGTGCTCTGGGTTTGAGACCACAGAGAAGGCCCTGTGATTAGTGTTTTCGTAAATGCTGATTCATAAATTATGAACCAAAACCAGTGAAAGTTCAGAAAACATCTCAAAACCCACTCAAATCATGTCTAACTCATTATAAAATGGGTCAAAAAGTGTTTTAACAGTTATTTATGCTGCAGAATAAACTGGTTAATAGCTGGTGCTATGAGACTTGGGTGGCATCTCTGACTGCCACCCCCCTGACCCAGAAATGGATTTAAAGGGTAGAAAATGGAAAAAATGGAATAACTGGTTAATATTAGTAAATAGAATCTGAGCAGCGCTGATATTACCAGTGTGTTGGAAGGTGGAGACCCCCCAGGGAGAGGTCATGGTTTTGGAGATCCACAACAACAAAACCATGTATCGTCTAAAAAAAACATGTTTTAGTACAATGTGCAGTTCATCGGCGGCTTTTTCCGAGAAGAATCAACAAACTTTACCACCAGTCCCCACAAGACTCCAAACTTTCATAGATGTTAATGGGAAAAAGGATAAGATGAACTTCATTGATCTAACAATGGAGAAATGTACAAGTATACATGCTATTGGGTTTCTTCTGTCACTATAACTACAATAAGTTCAACCAAAAGATTATTATTTTACCATAAATTACTTCACACGACCACTAACAATGAGTGAAATCAAAATGTCTTCCAGCACAGTTGTTTTTGGAGTCTGTGTGACTGAGTATTGGAAAACAAGTCTACCATTGAGATCAATAGGCCCAGTCCCAATACCCACACTGCACCCTACGCTCATTCCAACCGGGGCCAGCAGAAAGAATCCTATGAAGTGTGCTTTTTTTGTTTGAAGTGTGCATTTGTTTGAAGTGCGCGCAAGGGTTTGAGTGCGCAGGTTGCAAGCGTGCACAAAAGGCGGAATTGGGACAGTGCACACTGAGTGCAGTTTACGTCATCGACTCGTCAAGAGATGGTCATTTTCAGACCTAAACTTTATAAAAATTAAAGGTAATTTTGTCTGACCCTTTGGGAAACAATATGAATTGCTTCACACACGTTAAAATACATGTATATTAGTTGTTTTTTAATTAGAGATAGCTGTATAATGTTAAGTTAAATGTGGGTAACTAACTATCTGGTCAGTTTTTATACATTCTAAGATTATTGTACTAAGTGTAAAGTTTAAATTGAATGTTATATAAACGCTTGCTTTAAAAAGTTATTAAATTGTTAAAGCACAATGTCCGTAATTCTTCATCAGACGTTTATGCTTCTTTCCAAGTAACATAGCAAAACTTATTTACACACATACTGCATATATATTTCAAAATTTATATTTAATTTCATTTTCCCGTCGTTTTGGTGTGTACCGCAAAGAATTATGGGCAATATCCTTCGCCAGAGTGCGCATAGATGCAGGCTACGGCGAAGTGTGGATCAGGGGCGCAAAGGGGGCGGGGCCAAATACCTCCCTGGAGAATTGGGAAACCCTACGCACTCGCACCCTTTATCGGGAACGCGCAAATGAGGGGCGCGAGGGTGGAAGTGCGAGTATTGGGACGGGGCCTTAAAAGTCAAATTTGGAGTCTATGACAACAATTCAAAAACATGATGGAGGTAAAAATTCTTTAAAAGTCGAATTGTTTTTGGTTATATTGTCAAAAAAGAATTTGATACAGAAAAGCCCAAGATTTTCAGAGTTAAAAAAACAATATTTAATCCTCTTTGCGATTAAATATTAATACAAAACTCTCAGAGCTCTTATTTCCCAAACAGACCCCATGAGCTGGGCCCATTTAACCTCCAGGCCTGACAATGTACAGAGAACATCCAGGCGCTCTGCGAAGTCCTCTCTGTCCCCGGCTCAGACTGACTCACCAAATGTCCTACCAACAGTTTTTATGGAAATGTCTAGAAAAAGAGGAAGTGCCTCCGACTGCGTCATCTCACTCCTTATCGGTCTGGTCTGGTCTGGTCTGGTCTTGGGTCTCATCCCTTGTCCGTTCAGACTGACGCGTGATACAAACTGATTTTTATGCAAACACCAAATGATTAACATAAGAACACTTTATAAAAACACTTGATTAATCCTTAGTATAGAAACATTTCATGATTAAATATAGAATTTCATATTTTCATAGATTTTGATATGACAGAAAATCAAAGTGTATGGACGTGTGCTGTATTTAAAATCTACAACAGTAAAGTGTTTTTTCATTTGGAGCAACTGTAAAAACTACGCAGAGCGGCTTTAGACCCATCTGCATCACTGCGATCACAAACAAATCAACACATGCGGTTGGGAGGAACCTGCTAGCTAAACGTACAGCTCTATCGCTACGCAGCCGTAAAGCCTAATGGCTGTGGATAATTACATCTCGACACGACGGATTCCTCAGGACAAAGTGTTATCACCGCGGCGCAGGTTTACGGTGAAAGACGGTTCCGGCTCATCGGCCAAAGCTTTGTTCACGCGTTGGAAAAACACGAGTGCCTCTTTCCTGCAGCTCTTTCGCTACAGCATCATTAAAACACAGAGTTTGCATCAGACGCCGAGGCAGATGTCGGAGCCACGGAGCCTCCCGAAACCTCAGGGGTCACAATCTACTGCCCCGGACCCGGTAATTATGCAGCCGAGAGCCGTCGTTACAATAACAGGGCTGACATGATGAACAAGGAGCGAGGGAGGCTTTAAAAACAATAAGTCACATGATCTAAAATGTTTTTTCTCTTCCTTTCCTCACGGTGTTGATGCCTGAGAATGTTTTTATCATATTTTATTACTTTTTTTTAACCTCATTTGTTTTTTCCTCATTCTAATTCTCTCCGTTCTTTACTGCTTTGTTCTTCTTTAGAAGTAGTGGTTCTAGAGAACGGGTTGGCACCAGTGGGGGCGGGTCCTGGCTCCAAAAGGTCCATGAGCACGTGAGCCGCAATCTCACTCCCTCCGGGGGAGGTGTACCCGGAAAAAGAATTACCCAATGCTTTTGTATAGCATCTTCTTTCCTCCAGAAAACGGCTTTACAGGATGGTCCAAAAGTGGTTCTTGGTCCAAAAGTGGCTCTTGGTCCTCTTGGTTCCAGATGCTGTCGATGTTGAGGTGAGGCTATGTTTTTGGACCAGTCTAGTTCAGTTGCTATGGACTTTTGAATGCACTCGTTAAATGAATGGGGCCGGTGCAGCTGACGCACAAATATGTTTTCTCACATTTATATCCGTTGCCGGGTCGCAGGGGCAGCAGTCACAGCAGAGACATCCAGACCTTCCTCTCCTCACACACTTCCTCCAGCTCATCCCGACCCAACGGCGTTCCAAGCTGAGAGACATAGTCCCCCTGTGTCCTGGGTCTTCTCCCGGTGGGACGTGCCCAGAACACCTCCCCAGGGAGGAGAGGTGTTCCTCTAACTGCCAATTATTGATTGATCATCAAAATATTCTCCCATTACCACCAACAAAGGACCCACAATCCCTCAGAATGAGTAGATCCAAACAGTTGTATTCAAACTGATCAATGGTTGTGGGTTTAAATCCCATAACAGAATTCCCACATGTCTCCTTTATGTGGAAGCAGCCGCTGTATCAACACGCTGGAGAAGTGCAAGTAACGTAAAAATGTGCTTTCTGCAGCAAAAACACACAGTCGGCCTAATCTGCCTTTGAAACGTCGTCTCAGATCAGAATCAAGCGGCACACGCACAGATAATGTATCAAGGGCAGAGGCAGCGATAGCATCTTGGTGGAAACAGGGCTACGGGCGAAAACATGAAAGACCACAATGAGCTGCATGTGGATGAAAACTACAGCTCTGGGTCTGAAACGGAGAAACCAGAGCAAAGGCTTCCTCTCCCCACTTCTCTGTGAGCAAATCTGAAAACTCCTGAGAGAGGAACGGATCCAGAGGCGGTGGAACAGACACAGCCCCAGACGAGGGACTTGAACTCATGCACGTCCGAGAGGCTGGGAACGGTGTCAATGACGTTATGGAGTCTGGAGAGAGCAGGAGTGAGACGGAGCAGACGGAGGACACTGAGTCGGACTGAATCTGAAGGAAGAACAAGGAGGTACGAGAGGAGGCCCAGTGGGATCTGCTGCTGTCGGGCGGTTACAGGTGGAGCAGGTGGAGCAGGAGGAGCAGGAGGAGCAGGAGGAGCAGGAGGAGCAGGTGGAGCAGGTGGAGCAGGTGGAGCAGGAGGAGCAGGAGGAGCAGGAGGAGCAGGAGGAGCAGGAGGAGCAGGTGGAGCAGGTGGAGCGGGTGGAGCAGGAGGAGCAGCAGGTGGAGCAGGTGGAGCAGGAGGAGCGGGTGGAGCAGGAGGAGCAGGAGGAGCAGGTGGAGCAGGTGGAGCGGGTGGAGCAGGAGGAGCAGCAGGTGGAGCAGGTGGAGCAGGAGGAGCGGGTGGAGCAGGTGGAGCAGGAGGAGCAGGTGGAGCAGGTAAAGTGTGGGTTTGGAGTGAATATAGATGAGGGTTTTGGAAATGCATGTTTAAAGATGTATCGTTGAGATCCAGCACTGAACAAAATCCCTTAAAAAAACAAAATACAGGAAAATGTGTAAAATCCTGCTTAAATTAATAAAAATGATCTGTCAATAGAAGAAGAAAATATGACTTAAGATTTCTGAAAATAATAAAATAAAACTAGCCCCAAACGACTTGATTCTAGTTTAAAAACATTTAAAGTATTATTTACTTATTCCTTAAAATACAGCATCACATTTATTTTATCTAAACAAGAAAAGTCTGTAATTAAGAAAAAATACTGAAAACAAGATTAAAAAGTCACTGCTCAGACTTTTTTCTCTAATATTATGTTTTATTATCTTAAAACTAGTCAAATAATCTCATGCATAATTCATGTTATTTTAACTGTTTTCAGTGTGTGCTGCAGAAAGAGTGTGTTTTAAAGAGGACCAGAGCCAGAGTTTAGAGTCGGACCAAACATCCATATTTCACAAGTTTTTAGTCAAATCTTTCTCTGTGAATAAAACACAATCCTGACTTTTACAGCTCGGTATCTGCAGAATTCTGTTGTAAAAAGTTGTTGTTTAATCTCAAATTTTGTAGATAGCGATAATCGATGCGTGAAATTAAAATTGAGAATCATCAATCTTAGAGCAGAGATAAAACACGGAGCAAAGGCTCAAGTTTTCATCTCCTTTTCTCTGAGACTTCAACATGATCTACAGGGAATTAAGTTTGGTGATAATATTGGGATTATTTTAATTTATTTTTTTATTCTTGGTCGATAAAGACTGATTAACCAAATAATGAGTGTGACAAAAGTTCTTAAGAGACTAAAACTGAAAATACTTAAAACAAAGAAATGACTAGAAATAAACTTAGAATAGAGAGTTAAATGGGGCTGAAAACACCAAAATCTTTAAAACATTTCTTCCAATTTGACCGTTTTTTCATAGAAATCCTTATAATCTAAATAAACCAATGAAATGATGGATAAATCTTTAGGTTGTCTAAAATTAACCGGTAAAATGTCATTATTCTAAACCAGAGTAATCTTAGAACCATCCATTCAAGTTTTTAAGGCGGACTTTCATCTTAAGGCAGAAATATCCAATGTCCTTTGTCCATAGCTCAGAGCCTATGATCCTGTAGCAGCACAAGATACAAGACTTGATTTGGCATTTGCAGTAAAACCACATTGGAGAAACTTTGCAAGACTTCCCCAGTGTGGACAGTGATGAGATGTGGAAAATATGACGAGAAGCAAAAACAGATCAAGAGACAGTAACACGCTCTGGTGCAGAGAAAAGGACAGCGTCAGGGCAGGGTTGTGTAGAAATGAATAATAACCAGAAAAACAAATGAACCCAAAGTCCTCCAGTCCAGCAGTGTTAAAGGCATGAAAAAGACTGTCCCAAGAAACACAGAGTCGAGAATTAACATCAGGCTGAGCATAAACACAAACTATTTACAGAAATCCAGGCCAAGATCTGCTCAGACGGATTTACTGTGATCTCTCTTTTGTGAACGACGCTGGAGCAAGAGGCTCTGAGTCCGACTGTTATTATACTCATCTATTCAATATTAACTCAGGAGTGAGTCAATCCTGGACAGCCTGACACCTGAACATGTCGGAGTTCTTCTGAGTGTCAAATGTATCAGGTAATATTCAAGAAATGTCTAATTTGGCCTTGACTCTTTAGTGTGATAGTTGGTATTTAGGGAAGTTGATCAGAAGTCCCACCTCTAACCTTCGGTAAAGACCAAAATGAGATTGTGGAGACAAGCGAGAGTTGCCACAGAGAGGCTGGGCGCTCGCTTGGAGATAGGTTGAGCTCGGTGTAGAGCTGCTGCTTCTTTTATGTCTAACAGATTCCTGCATCAGAGGAACACAGAGACGGGCAGCAGACCCAGGACTCGGGCTGGGCAGCAGACCCAGGACTCGGGCTGGGCAGCAGACCCAGGACTCGGACAGGGCTGCAGACCCAGGACTCGGGCTGGGCAGCAGACCCAGGACTCGGACAGGGCTGCAGACCCAGGACTCGGACAGGGCTGCAGACCCAGGACTCGGACAGGGCTGCAGACCCAGGACTCGGACAGGGCTGCAGACCCAGGACTCGGGCTGGGCAGCAGACCCAGGACTCGGACAGGGCTGCAGACCCAGGACTCGGGCTGCAGACCCAGGACTCGGACAGGGCTGCAGACCCAGGACTCATGAATCATAAAAACATACAGAGAACCGTGTCGTAAAAGTCCTTTAGTGACTTGGACGAGCCTTAATCTCGTACCTTGCACGTAATCAATTAAGTGTTTTCTTGGCAAACACACAATTTCATTTTGAATAGTTTCCGTAAATGTCAGCAGCAGATTATACTAAATGATTTTCATGCATAACGGATACACTTCAGTTTGGCAGGACTTTGGGGCCTGATGATTGGCCATCGCCCATCCACAAGCAAAGCCATAAAGACCTCAGTATCACACCTTTAAGATTCTTTTCTCATTAGAACCATATCACCAATGAACAAGAGAGAACACGTGGATGAAAAAGGAGGCTACAACAAATAATGAAACCAAAAAAACCCCAAATTGATTCATATTTGACAGGTTTGTTAATTAAACCCAACACACACACACAGAGTAACGTCTATCATTGAAAAGGTATGGAAGAAAACACGACTTCAAAGAGAACTTGAAGGCACGTTAAGCTTCTTCTTTCCTTTACTCTTCCTCGATCACGGAGCGAGGCAAAGATGAAGGAGCCGGAAGAATCTGCAGCAAAACATCCACAACCGATAGATCCGCAAACACGGGGGTGGGATCTGCTAATTACAAATGGACTCTTCACCAAAGCCAAGGCTGAAAATGCAGATGATTCAAGGTCAAGCCGAGCGGATGAG